AGAGAGAGAGAGAGAGTCTTTGTGCTTTAGGGCATTAGGCATTAAGCATGTATTGATTGGCACAGACCATGGCAAAACATACCTTAAAGTTAAAAGGTAAATATGCAAAGTGCAAAAGTAAAATGTCAGAGATTCGAAGAAGAAAGCGTAACAATTACCCTCTCATGTGAACTGGGTACCACCCTTCTTATTTACAGTACATCCCTAAGAAGCATCTGCGCACTTAGAGAGAGAGAGCACTTCAAGAATGAGAGTATTTGGAGAGAGAGAAAATAGTTAGAGAGAGAGAAAGCACTTAGAATGAAAGGAGAGAGAGAATATTTAGAGAGAGAGAGCACTTCAAGACTGAGAGTATTTGGAGAGATAGAGAGGAATTTACAGAGAGAAAGAGAGCACTTCAAGAATAAGAGTATTTGGAGAGATAGAGAGAGAGTATTTGGCGAGACACAGATCAGAGAGGTAAGAGCATGCCGACGGGTGCTTATTTACTGATTAAAATAAATGTAAACCGTAAATGTCAAGGAAGGATTATGTGATCATTGCTTACGCGAAATATAGTGATTTGGTGTGGCCTTGAAAAGACTAATCATAGAATTAACATAGTTTTACTCAAGAAATAAATGCTAATTAACTTCTGTTTGTTTTCAAACGACAACTGGATTCACCTACCCAAAAAGTTAGCGGTCAATGCATCTAGAAAGGAGGGATAATCCATACTTACTGACAGGGGCGTTTTTTAATTTTAATTTAATCGAGGTAATTGGTTGTGATTTATAATAGAAACTAATTAGTTGTAATAGAAAAGCATTTGGTGAAGTTAAAAACCATTAGAGAGTGATTTTTCCACGGGTGCAGTTGGCATACGGATGCATCCATTGGTGTAGAGGTATGGTGCACCTTCAAATTTGATCATGGTGTATAATTTTGATGTAAAATGTTTTTAGGATTATTTTAAAATTTATTTTTATATCTTGGTGTAGATAATATGATATAAAATGTATTATTTTTTAAATTTAAAATCTTTTTTTTTTTTCATAGTTATACTCTCGATGTCGAGATGATCAATCAAAGGGTTTTTCAATATTAAAACTACTTTTTTCGATAGATTTTTGAAGGGCATCCGTAATTTTACACTAAAAGGTAGCATCCTTAGGAACTTTTTCGCTTTTTCTACAGTACAATTTTGAGCATGAAATGCCCTTAAATTGTCGCATAACACCCATGTTTAATTGCCTTTTTGTGTTAAGAACGGACCATTTCATTTGAAGTTAATATATCTTTTTATTTATTTTAAGTTTTGAAGTTAATATTGTTTTGTTAGCTATTTAATACTCTTAAATCACGTATTATAAAATAGTGAATCGGCACCTCCAAAATCCATCTTGAAGATAGATTTTAGATCCTCATTTTACGAATTGCTAATCTCAACTATTGTGATCAATAGATGTTTTTTTTTGTTGAAAAATAAATTCTTTTTCCACCATCCATTTTGGCTTTTAGTGGAGGCACCATTCTTTGATGTCCATCTTAAGGCTGGACGTTTGATGCATAAGAGACGCACCTGAGTAGGTGAGTCACCGACTCACCAAAACGGGGTCGTAATGTATAATATTATTTAATTAAATTTTAATATGCCTAAAACTCATAAATATTTTTTTAGCAATATCAAGTCATTTTCAGCTAGTTCTATGTATAAAAAAGTGATTTTTTGTAAATTACTCTAAATAGAGTAAAAATAGCATTTCAAACTTGTAAATTTATCTATTGCTATGGGATTGTCTATAAATAAATTATTTATCTTTTACGTATGGAGGTCACGATCATTCTCACTCATTAGATGTCAAATTGAATGGCTTGGGGTGAGTTAAGAAGCCTGAGAATTATTTTTTTTTGGAACTGTGTCTATTGAATAACACTCTTACAACTACCCATTTTGACATTTAAGAGACAAGAATAATTGTGACTTCCATGTACAAAAGATAGATAGTCTTTTCGTAGACAATCCCGATATGTTATCATGAAAATTATCAAACAACAAATTATTTGTTCCTACAATTAATCTTATTGAGATGGTGAATTATGTCCATCCAAACATGCCCTTAAAACCCCTAGAGATTCCAAATAGATGCAGTAAAATTCTGGTTGAATTTCCCATATCCAACGGCTTGAAAAATTAGTTGCCAGTCTAGTCAGAAATCACTTATCCATATTGGAAATCAATTTGATTTATAGGTAGAAAAGGTTTATATAAGCGCGAAGCTCTAAACAATCAAAATAAATCGGACCTCAAAAATTTCATTAGAAAAGGTAATTTTGATGCCCAAATATCTTCAAATTGATAATCTTGTCATCAAGACGCATGGACATTAGAAAAAAAAAATAGATTTTGAGTTTTGTAAATAGTGCATCTTGTAATGTTTTTTTGAACCGTCAATCTTCAAGATTTTCAAGGTTTCATATATTTACTCAATCTACACTATTTTTTAAGCTTTAAATCTTATAATTAATGATGAAAATATATTTTAAGGCTCTAAAAAAGATTTACAGTACTGAAATTATATTTCTCAATACTATTTGAAGGTACATTTTATTGTGATTGTTTCGAGCCTTGGCTCTATACAAACCGCACCTTTATAGATTTTACATGATTTTATAAAAGAATTAGACAAATCTAACGTAAAAAGATGATATGCCCATTTATTTTTTATACAAGGTAATCATAAACTCGCAATTATTTACAACCATCCGATGTGAAATTTGATAGTTTGGATGTGTCACAAAATTTTAAAAAAATTATTTTAAAATTTGATCTTGATCAATAAAATAAATACAGCTCTCATTTCACATCCAAAAAAACCCATTTCACATCTAATGATGAAGATTAATGTGACTACCTTGTACTTTACAAGTTAGATAGTCTCATACTTTCTCTATGCTAAATTGCTTCCTTTTAATTATTATTATTAAATTTATTTATTTTTTTTCAAATCTAAAATTATTATTTCAATTTTTTAGAACTTATACGATGTAATATTTAATCCTCTCCGTGCAAACACTATGCTTATCAAGATGTGTGGTGAATTTGTCTCCCTCCTGTCTTTTCTCTTTACAAACACACACAGGTACCTTCCCCTGTTTTTATGTTGTAGGACGATTCATCGGCCACGCGGTACAAAATTTTTAGAATAAATTAGATTGGGGTGAGGTGTCGGGTCTTTTATTTGAAATAGTTTATGTTTTGTCCCCATTAAAATATCTTGTACTACATGCCAAGGAAATTATAGAGTCGCCTCCTTTATTTTTGGTGTAAAGGCTGGGCCCTGTAAATATATATCCAAACGTCCCATGGGCCCAACTCCTAATAAAACAAGGATTGCCCTAACATTTTAAGAATTCCTAAACTATTATTTTGATGGAATGTTATAAGGAAGGAAACTATCCTTAATAGAAGTCCTGTCATTAGAATTCCCCTCACCTATGAAAAACATCTCTTAATATTTAAAAAATACTGGATCGGCACACAATTGCACTGTCCGACTTAAAAATTGGTCATCCCATATTGATTTTATTAAAATATAGGAAATCATCCAAATTTAGAAGAGAACCGAAGATTTTCTACAGAAAAAAATCATCTTCCTATTGTAAAAATGTCAATTCACCAATTCGGACCGATTTATGCGATCCGTTTTTTAAATCACTGCCTAATACACATCTATGTCCTATTGGTCTCTCTCTTTCATGAACATTAACTTGAATGTACTTATCTATCCTAAGTTCCTAACATTTGGTATTCCTGAGTTACATTATTGATGGGCTCCATTGTCTGGGTTAATCTTAAATGGAGAAGTCTGTCTTGTTTTTTTATCTTGAAAATTTTTGGATAACTTTTTTATTTTAAAAAAGTCTCGAACGGAAATTTTATTTCTTCATACTGGATTGTAAAATCTGCAAGCCTACTCCCGAGTCATGTGGGACTTGTGAAACAATCCTAGGGAACTCATACCATATGGATTGTCAAGAACTAAACAAATAATTTAATTGCCCAGTTCAATTTAAGGACTAATGTAATTCCCCAACTCCACAGCACTTTGCTATTTTGTTTATCATTTAAGCCGACTCGACTCACTTGAAATTAGTGGCCTATTTCAAAGTTTAAACAAACAAGTGCCGTATTTTCTTTATTTATTTAGGTACATAATTATTTGTTAACGAAATTATGTACAAAAAAAAAAATCTAATACACTGCAAAACTTAAAATATTAATTGTGGAGTTGGACCCACTGAATTGGAAAAAGGAGTTGGTATAAGAGGTCCCACAATTGCGGTTATGTTTGTCATTTGGTAAAAAGAAGGAGGGTAGTAGAGTCGATTATATATTAGAGGATTGGTGGGCGGAAGGTGACATAAGTGTAACGTCAGGGGAGATCCTGGGAGAGATACTCTCCGATGGGGCGGCGTGCCCGGGTGTTGGGAAGTCAACCGTCCATCGCTTAAACCCTAAAACAAAACTCCTCTCTTTTTCTCTCTCTACTTTCTAGAGAGAGAGAGAGAGAATGGGAGTAGATAGGACCAGAGAGACGAAGTGTTCGTTTACTGTAAATAATAATATGATTAAAGGGACAGCAAACGCCCAAAAATGCTATCCTTTTAAGAGGCCTCTCTGCCTGTAAAGGAAAAGGGAATAAGAGAGAGAAAGTGTTGTGTGATGGGGAAAGGGCAGCACCTGCCTAAAAATGTTCTTTTCCATCTTTTCGAAAGGGAGGGGAGATGGAAAAATGATGAGAGAGTGAAAAAGGAGAAGATTTGATTGCAGATGGTGTGGTGTGAGAGAATACAATACAGGAAAACGGCGACCTTGCATGCAGATTGAGTGGATGATTTGATGTAAAGCTGTGTGGGTCTCGGATTCCGAGCAGGATGTGTCAAAATCCTCACACATCAATCCCGGTATGATGGACGACGCTTGCTCTTTCTCTCTCTAAAACATAACTAATTCCATCGCGTTTCAAATTCCCATCCATCGAGAGACAGAGAGATGGTGGTGGTGGAGTCTCGGAGGGGGTTTCTGGTTTTTTAAGCCATTCGCCTGGTTCCTATCATTTTAGAGAGAGAGTTGGTTCTGTCTTTCATGATTTAATTTTGTACTGCCGGCTGACGGATGAGATATGAGTGCAGGCTTTATCGATCTACGATCAATCCCTCCCCTCCCCTCCCCTCCCCTCCCCTCAAAACTACTTTCTGTTCCCTCTTTCACTTTCTACACTGACACAAAAAATACCTGCACACTTACGCACGCACGCTTTCTCTCTCTAAAAAACACACCCCCAATATCCAAAAAAAACCCGACGATTTCTTACTTTACATACAATACATGGGACGAATTTTACTACAATACGGGTATAGATAACAGGGCTAAAATACACACTCTATGTTTCTGTGGTAATAGGGCGGGGGTCTCTCTCTCTGCTTCATCTGCTGCACCAGCTGTACACGCAGCAGGAGCAGAGAGACTTAGAGAGAGAAAGTTAGAGATATGATCCTTGTAATTATTATTATTATCCCTCCGCCCTCTGCCAAACCTGACTCAATCCCTCCGTATAATATACACACACAAACAAAGTCCAGCAACCATATAAAACCCATGCCCAACTTACTTCCTCGGACCCCACTGCCTCTCTCTCTCTCTCTCTCTCTTCTGGACTTCATTTGCTTTCTCTCTCTCTCTCAGTTTTGTGTTTTCTGTTCTCTCTTAGTTCACTTGTGAGTTGCACACCCTTTCTCTCTCTAGAAATGGACGGTGGATTCGGGCATTTGGAGAAGGTCGAAGGGCAGCTGCCTCCTGGTTTTAGGTTCCATCCAACGGATGAGGAGCTCATTACTTATTACCTTAGGAAGAAGGTCCTGGACGGTGGTTTCACGGCCAGGGCCATTGCTGAAGTTGATCTTAACAAATGCGAGCCTTGGGAGCTCCCAGGTGAAACCATTCTCTCTCTTTTCACATCTGTGGTCTTTTGCTTTCTTAAAGTTTCAGACTTCCAATTAATGATATATACTTGCCGGAAAGCTTGGTGGATTTTAAAATGATGTTTTGATCGATGGTTTTTGCTGTCAAGGGTGATGACGATTTGCCGGCGGTTATTTCAATTTTTCACTTAGATGCTCTACGTGGGTCTCTCATTCATGTTCTCTTGCATAATAGCCTACGTTGCTCTCTATCTTTCATATCTCTCTCTCTCTCTCTCTCTCTCTCATGATTTGTACTCTCTTTGTTATTATGATTTTTGCTTTTCTGACTGTCTCTGGTCTATTCTGTCTAGTCTCATTAATCAAGATGATGGTCTCTCTTCTGTAATTTCAAAAGAAACTAATATTTTTCTCTCTACTGTGTCAACTTCTTGGTCGATTAGTGTGCTGCATCAAACTGCCCGTTCCCTCTCTCTCTCTAAGATTTGAGTTGTGGTTTCAGAGAAGGCGAAGATGGGAGAGAAGGAGTGGTACTTCTTCAGCCTTCGGGATCGAAAGTACCCGACCGGGCTCCGAACGAACCGGGCCACGGAAGCTGGTTACTGGAAAGCCACAGGGAAGGACCGAGAGATCTACTGCTCCAGAACCTGTTCACTTGTGGGGATGAAGAAAACCTTAGTTTTCTACAAAGGAAGGGCACCCAAGGGCGAGAAGAGCAACTGGGTCATGCACGAGTACCGCCTTGACGGCAAATTATCTTACCACTACCTCTCAAGGTCCACTAAGGTACACCATAAAAACTCGGCCATAAGCCCCCGCTTTTCAATTCAAACTCTTTTCCTTCTGTAATTCGTTAGTGTATATTTCTATAGAGAGAAAAGCGATGACCGTCTGTTTTTTTGTCACAGGACGAATGGGTGGTCTCTCGGGTGTTCCAAAAGAGCAATGGCGGGAAAAAAGGTCGTGGTTCCTACACGGAAGCGGGATCACCTTCGCTCCCGGCCCTCTTGGAAGAGAGAGAAAGTTGCTGCTCTTATGAGAGCGAAAGCGGAGGAGGAGGACCACCATCGCGAGACCACGTGTCCTGCTTCTCCACCCCCGTTTCTCATTCTAACCCTATCCACCAGAACCAAGGCCAAAGTCAGATGCATTTCTCTGAAGTGGCGGCTCATTATTTGCACCACTCCATTGCGCCGCCTCTTTTGGCTGAACCACCTCGTTTCAATCGAGGAGGGGTGGCCGCTTTTCCGAGCTTGAGATCTTTGCAAGAGAATCTGCATATCCCTTTCTTTTTTGGTGGTGAGAGCAGTGGTGGGAACGATGCGGGGTTGAGCAGTGGTAGCGGTGGTGCAATGCAATGGGGGGTGGCGGAGCAGAAGGTTGTGGTGGCGGAGGCGGGGCAGCAGCATGGTGGGGAGCTCGATTGCATGTGGACCTACCGTTATGACTAGCTTTCTAAAATCTTTCTCTCTCTAAGATTCTCTTTTCCTGCCATGAAACGTTTATCCCCTTCTCTCCATGCACGTATGAAAGTGTAGACTCTCTCTCTCTCTGCTACATCTCCTGGTCCCTACTGATGCATCTGAGAGTGATCCAACCTCTTTCTTCTCCATGCATTATCCATAGTACTCTCTGCTCTCGTGCTCATCCACAAGTCTCTCTCTCTAGGATTACGACTACTCTTCTCTCTAGCAATACGACTAGTCTCTCTCTATCTTTTTTGGTGTCAGCTCTATGTATCATATGCTGGTTTTGAGTATTTTTGGTTACGTGGAACAGCGAATCATATATGTCTTTAAGTTTTGGGGTACTATTTGGTGTTTTGTGCTGAAATATATAATATCTGAGACCAAGACTATCAATATGCATGTTTTTGCTCAGGTTTCTTGCTTTATTCCTTTGGTTCGAAAATTTGGATTGAAACAAGAGTTGGTCCACAAACAAATGGCACGTTAGTCTATAACAATGCTTTTTTAAATTTTAGCATATTTTGGGCTAGTCCAAGAAAAAACATGCTAAAGATTCAAGAACTAAATGTAAAGATTTTTGTTTTCACATAATTCAAAATGGTAAAAAGTTAATCATTGTTGAAGATCATTAGAAGTCTAAAAATCTAAGAAAGTGTAAAAAGAAAGTACATAGAACTATGCTTTTAAAAGATTTTAAAGTTTTAAAATCAAGAAAATTAATTTGAAATATTTAATAGCCAAAGAAAAATGAAAATTAATGCTCATAGTAAGAAAGTTCCTAAATCATCTTAAAAATCCAGTTAATCATTATTTAAACCATGAACTAAAGATTTTTAACAAAAATTAGGTAGTTATTTATAATTTTTAACAGGGGAACTGGCCTTGGCCATAGACCTAGTCCCTAAGCATGAAATTTATGTCAAAGAGGGCTAGTTCATTTTCTATTGAGCTTCCATTTTATAAAGGCAAGACCCTCCTTTGTGCAAGAAAGACGTTAATCAGCGATTAAAAAACTGCGAATTTGACTTAATTGGTGAAATTCTACTCTGAGGAATTTCAGAGTCTTTATAATGTTATTTTTATTATATTTGTACAACAATTATGTAATAAAAAAAAACCTGTATTTACCCAAAAAAAAAAAAATTAGCACAACCTTTGAATTCGGATTTAGAATCGGGTCCAATAATTCTTTAAATGTTAAGCTTTCTGTAAAACTCTAGATGTTGGCACATTCTTTATGGGAACCTTAGTGATATATGGTGTTGTGGAGCATTCTTTATGGGAACCTTAGTGATATATGGCGGCCATTACTGAGGCCCCATTTATGTTAAGTCATTAATGACAAATCTCTTTTCAAATCCCAAATGGTAATAAGCTAATAGCAGTTATTTGTGAGAGAGAGGGTGGGTTTGATTTTGGCTTTTTGGGTTTACTAAAATTAGGATATTAGGTTTGGATTGACATTTATTATAGGCTAATCAAGTTAAAAAGTATTGGTACAGTTGGGGTAGTTGGGAACTCGATGTGGAGATAAGGAGTAATTAGGGTTAAAAAAATATCAATTATTGATGCACTCCCAGTCATGTGTCATGCAAAAGAAACAACTCTAAGAAGACAAACAGTTGTATTACTGCTAATCTAATTGTTATTGGTTCCATCATGCTATGGCCCCTGGAATAAATCTCCTCTAAGCCTACTATGTTATGTGTTCCTGCCTGACCGCATAAGGCTATGCTCTATACTCTGCCTATATTTGGAGCACTCTAGTATTCCATGTGCATGCTATCTGTATGTGTAGGGTTCTCCCTATCTAGGTACTACAGTAGGAGATAATAATAGACAAGGGAGCATACATCACCCTAAGAGCAGTGCAACAATAGTAGCAGGTGATGGAAAAAGGGAAATATTGCTAAAAAAGAGTATCGTTTTTTCCTGTTGTGTATTCAATGCAGGTGCAACACGACAGAGAGAGAAGCTCATTACATGCTTATATAGCTAGACTAGTCATCCATGCCCATTCTCATCAGTGGACGGTGGAGATGAACCCACGAGAGACGTGATGGTAGTAAAAGTATCCCAAGCTGATATGCTAGGCAGACTATAAGCCATCTTCATCTTCATAGATTGACGGTGCGAGATTAGCCTATGTTCTAATGGATTTGAAGAATAGTAGACATGGCTCATCCCTGCTTAACATTTATGTGGATGGAGGTGAACGTGTCGTGTTGGACACTGTGGGTGGCATTGAAGCGGAGACAAAAGTAGCAATACAAGATTGGATGGAAGTTATAAATTTTTTTGGATCTGATCGACTTTTTGTACTGATTGCTCTCTTTTGCGTGTGGATAGTTTAGTTTACCGGCTTGAAGAGAGAGGAAGTTAGTAGGTTGCTCTTGATGAACGAAGCACTACTAACAAAATGATGCGATGAACGAAGCACTACTAACAAAATGATGCGATGAACGAAGCACTACTAACAAAATGATGGTGAAGGATAGGACTGGAAGAACCAGACTTTCATAAAAGAAAATATGACAGCAATACCGACGGTATTCCAGTAACGAAACTACAATTGAGAAGGGCCGTCTCAATAGTAGGGGAAGGTACTGGCGCTACCAAGCCTCTTTTCATTAGATACGGTAGAATGCAAGTTGGGGATCGTCATCATCATAACCTTCTCCCAATTATTTGGGGTCAGCTAAAGTTGAGGATAATGCCTAAACAAAATTCTGGAAGCCAACTGCCTCATGGGGGATGTCTAGGAAGGAATTCAAAGGGGTTTCAAAAGAAGATGTAGAGTTTCAGAAGCCTAGTAATAGCCAACTGCCCCAAGATGTTTGGGTTAAACACAATTTCAATGGAAGTGTGAAGGGGAATCCGAACCCGGTGAGGATTGGTGGCCCTTTGAGAGATGGATCTGGTCGTACATTGCTATCATTCTCATGCCCTTGTGGTGTTTGCTAGGTTAATGAAGCTGAACTTTTGTGCCCTAAACATGGTGCCTTAAGCCTATAGCCTTCAGGTCATCAAAGAGAGTGACTCGGCCAATGTACTAATCTCATAGAATTCAATTCATAAAATCCCAGGCATGAAGATCTATTCTCAATGAAATAAAAAATTTCCTTAATAGAGAATGGTACCAGATGATGGCGAAAAGTGCACAAAAACTAATGATTCTTATTCAAAGGCAGGATTTAGGGATATGTTGGAAGATTGCAGGATTTAGAGATGTGTTGGAAGATTATTCTTAGAAGGAAAGGGTTCAAAATGTATGTAGAGAACTTTTGTTTTTCTTTCTGTACTTTTGATAACTACTCAGATTTTTCTAGGGAAAATGTCATTTAAGGGGATGAAACCCGTTACAAGATCACTAAAGGGGTGGAGTTCTTCCTATTAAGATTTGATGATTACTTTTTCTTTCTCATTTCACTTAGGCAACTCCTCAAAAAAATGAAAAATTTTCCGAATTGCCATTCTTCTATATTGGGAATGTGGAACAATCAGGGGCATTCCAAAAGCCCCAATAGATCAAGAAAAATACCACTAGTTGTTCGTCATTATAAATAAAAAACACACTATTGAGAATTAGTAGTGAGGAACAACTAGAAATATTTTAGCCATGTGATACATGTTAAGGCATTTAGGTGCCCAATGACAAAAATACCCTAGTCGTTTTTAGTTACTAATCCTGATTATTGTGTTCTTTTTTTGTATTGAGGAACAATAAAGGACATTTTTTTCATTCAGTAGGGGACTCTTGTGGATCAAATTATTGAAATGTCTATGATTGTTCCTCATTCTCAATGGAAAATAGAGCAATTTGAAAATTTTAAAATCTCTTTGACGATGTACCTAATTGAAATGAGAAAGAAAAGCTAAACACTCAAATATCAATAGAGAGAATTTGACCCCTTTAATAATGTTGTAGGGTACTCATTCCCTTAAATGATATTTTCCTTGTTACTTTATTTAGGGTCTGCTTTCTATGAGGTCGCAACCTTAAACATTCCATTTAAGGCTCACATTCAAATTTTATCAAACATATAATTTTGATGTAAATTATTCTTAAGATTATCTCAAAATCTATTTTCATATCTAATTGTAAAATTTTAAACTCCAAAAATGATTAAAATCAAGTAGATCTATAAACATATGAAAATCTTGAAAATGGACGGTCTAGATAATGTGTTGTAAGATGTACTATATTTCAGATTCCAAATCTTTTTTCTTTTCTTATTTATACATTTCGATGTTGAGATGATCAATTAGATGATTTTTCAACATCAAAACTTACCTTTAATGATGGATTTTTGAGGTACACCTTAATTCTACATCTTAAGGTCGTTAACTTATGGAAACTTTTTCCTTATTTTACTTACTAATATATTGTTATTCATCAATTTACTAACTAAGGGCTGCATGTCTACGTTCATAAAGGGGGAAATATCCCTGTACCCTATATTTTTGGGTTTCATATCTGAATAGACCCAAGGATTTAAAATATATCTCCTACTCCCTGACTAACTTTACCCACTTTTAACTATTTTTTTAACCCTAACAAATGTAAAAATGACATATTCATTTTAAACATTTTTCTCTTTAAGTAACATATTGTCACGCCCCAAGAATTTATAATATTGATATTCCTGAGATGTGACAGTCAAAACATATATACATCTCTTGATAGGACAAACTTACAGTGGCGAAATCTTACAAAGTAACAAAAGAAAGTTTAAGCACAACTACAATATCTTCAAGAGTTGATCCTGACGAGCACTCAAAATGAAACCGCAGTTATCCTGAAAAAAATGTTTACCATAATTTGATGAGTTTGACTACTCAGTAAGTGATCATCATAATCTTAAAAATAATCATGGTTGAAAGATATCAATATTTTCAAAAAGAAGATCTATTAACAAAAATGCATTAAAAGTTTCACTTTAAAAAATGCATAATTAAGTATAATCCGAATAATTGAAATGCATATAACATT